CACAACTAAAAAAACCAAACAAAACTTGCTCCCAATACAGAGATTTCAAATCAGCCACTCTCTTAAACTCTGAAGGAAAAATGCACTTTAACTTACAGCAGATTTTTCTGTAATATCATGTGCATGAATTAATCACAATAGTCAAAGGTGCTTTTAGCAGTTATTTGACAAAGTGCTAACACTTGTGTCCACTACACAAGTGATTGAGGACTTGTTACTCTGACAAGGAGGATGGGGTGACTGGAGATCAATGTTATTGGTAACCTTCCCCTATGAAACAATGAAACATGTAACTTTCGTTTGTATTTACCAAATGCAAAAAATCATATCGTTTTGGTTTATAACCCCATGTCCATTAAAATGGAGTTTTGTTTAGCTGGGGCCAAACCAAACCCAGCAATGTCACTTTTACTCCTCCTAAATAAAAGCTTGTCGAATTTCAACTCATTTGCTTGATTACCCCGTTGATGGAAAATAAGATGCCGAATAATCAGAAAACTAAAAGAATTTTTTACCTCTTAGACAAATCAGAGTCCTTGGTGGATTCCCCCACAGCTCGTTCCAGTTCTTTTATTCGTAGTTTCAACTCTTTTACAAATTGGAGTTGTTATTTAGTGGTGCAAAACTCACATATGCTTTGGCCCTAATCACCTGATCTTTCATCTCCTTCACCTTCTCATTTAGTAATCTCTGTGATAGGACTCTACATTCTGATCATGTTGCCAAACAAAAAATAATGCAGATTGCAAAATATAAAAGCCAACACAATGTAGTATTCCATTTAAAGTGTTATTGGACCACAAAAAGAGAAACAGAATTATTAGATAGAAAGGAAGAAAAGAAAAATAAAATTTAAATAAGAAAATGATAGCATTGCACTTTTCCTAAAAGAATTTATGTTATTATAATTCATATTACAGCCATAAAGTGTTAAAAGATGAAAAATTATAATTTTGTTAATTCAATAATTCCCCCATTTCTTTGTTCATTCTAACAGAGAAACTCATCAACCTACATTCACAATGTTTTTACTGACGATGAAATGCAAAACTATCTTACTCTCTCTTATCTGTTTTTAAAAAAGGGTCAATTCAAATTCCTAAGAATTTCAATCAGTGAGCACAAATAAAAAAAAATTAATCAAGGAAAAAAGTTAATAAGATTATCACATAGCAATGCCACTTGCTAGTTTGATTACCATATTTCTAGATTGGTAGTTATAGTAAATATGTTTATTTTAGATCAAAGTTCATGTCAAAATCTTATAAAGTTGAGGCTTGAGCTAAGCCAGATTATGAAGAATCATACCTTTCCCCCAGATGTGGATAATACTTTCTCCAGCTGATTCTGCTGCTTATCTTCTTCTGTATCATGATTGATTACTGAGCTTGAGATGAGGGGAAAAAAAAAACTGAAACTGTGGACTTAAAATCTCTATCTTTATACAAGAGTAGAGGTAGTAGTAAATCTTTCTTGCAAAACCCAAATAAAAACAGTAAACTTAGATCACCAATTCCATTGCACCAAGTTTCTGGACACCTGTCCTGTGTTTCTGTTTAGAAACAAAAAGGAGATCTTTAATTTTTGTGGGACAAACAGATCGATTGAGCTGCAGAGAAAATCTCGGAGAAGGAATTAAGGATTAGAATTTATATCATAAAAAAATGAGCCTTTTCTCATCATTTGGGATGGACCCTCAAAAAGCAATAGAATAAGGGATTCATAAAATAGCCTATAAATCTTCAATATTCTCTCTTGATTCTGTAAGAAAAAAGATTCATAAACAATCAAACACGTACGCAAATCAGAAAAAACCCTAAAATTTAACGAGTAAAGAATTCAGCATAATATGAACTTTATGCGCGCGCGCGCACNAAATCAGAGTCCTTGGTGGATTCCCCCACAGCTCGTTCCAGTTCTTTTATTCGTAGTTTCAACTCTTTTACAAATTGGAGTTGTTATTTAGTGGTGCAAAACTCACATATGCTTTGGCCCTAATCACCTGATCTTTCATCTCCTTCACCTTCTCATTTAGTAATCTCTGTGATAGGACTCTACATTCTGATCATGTTGCCAAACAAAAAATAATGCAGATTGCAAAATATAAAAGCCAACACAATGTAGTATTCCATTTAAAGTGTTATTGGACCACAAAAAGAGAAACAGAATTATTAGATAGAAAGGAAGAAAAGAAAAATAAAATTTAAATAAGAAAATGATAGCATTGCACTTTTCCTAAAAGAATTTATGTTATTATAATTCATATTACAGCCATAAAGTGTTAAAAGATGAAAAATTATAATTTTGTTAATTCAATAATTCCCCCATTTCTTTGTTCATTCTAACAGAGAAACTCATCAACCTACATTCACAATGTTTTTACTGACGATGAAATGCAAAACTATCTTACTCTCTCTTATCTGTTTTTAAAAAAGGGTCAATTCAAATTCCTAAGAATTTCAATCAGTGAGCACAAATAAAAAAAAATTAATCAAGGAAAAAAGTTAATAAGATTATCACATAGCAATGCCACTTGCTAGTTTGATTACCATATTTCTAGATTGGTAGTTATAGTAAATATGTTTATTTTAGATCAAAGTTCATGTCAAAATCTTATAAAGTTGAGGCTTGAGCTAAGCCAGATTATGAAGAATCATACCTTTCCCCCAGATGTGGATAATACTTTCTCCAGCTGATTCTGCTGCTTATCTTCTTCTGTATCATGATTGATTACTGAGCTTGAGATGAGGGGAAAAAAAAAACTGAAACTGTGGACTTAAAATCTCTATCTTTATACAAGAGTAGAGGTAGTAGTAAATCTTTCTTGCAAAACCCAAATAAAAACAGTAAACTTAGATCACCAATTCCATTGCACCAAGTTTCTGGACACCTGTCCTGTGTTTCTGTTTAGAAACAAAAAGGAGATCTTTAATTTTTGTGGGACAAACAGATCGATTGAGCTGCAGAGAAAATCTCGGAGAAGGAATTAAGGATTAGAATTTATATCATAAAAAAATGAGCCTTTTCTCATCATTTGGGATGGACCCTCAAAAAGCAATAGAATAAGGGATTCATAAAATAGCCTATAAATCTTCAATATTCTCTCTTGATTCTGTAAGAAAAAAGATTCATAAACAATCAAACACGTACGCAAATCAGAAAAAACCCTAAAATTTAACGAGTAAAGAATTCAGCATAATATGAACTTTATGTGCGCGCGCGCACACACACACGTAATATCTTATTACTGGCATAATGGAGGTATTTAAGCCTGCCGGAGAGCAAACTAATTGGAATGAAAACAGAGACAGTGAGCAAAACGAGGATGAATATTCTCGTGCATAGACAAAATCTCTTCTTCAATATCAATCTTTGTAGATTAATCTAAACTCGTTATTAATATTACTATGACTTCTGAACATCTGTATTGATATACGATCAATAATTCGATATTGCTACAAAAAAGAACTAGGATTTCTCTGGCTTTCGCTTGAGATACAGTTGCTTTTAGAGAGAGAATGAAAGACGCGAGGAAGGCGAGAGAGGTGCCAATGCCATGTTCGTGACCGGAAGGAAGGATATTATTTTTTGTTTTTGCTGGTTTTTTGCATGGAGACTTGAAATGCGAGAAGGGAGGGGACGGTGATTATGACATGATGTGTATGATCGCCAATGAAGAGTCATGGTCATTAGCCATAATAATGTGCATGAGATACATATCAGCCTGGACCCACCGCGTGGCGAGACTTCAATGGCATGGCAGGTACGGCATAGTAGTTTTTGGGATGGGTCCCAATTATAATTTTCGCGTACCGTTACTTTTATTTTCTACTAATAAAAAATTTGATTCGGGTAAAATAATATCATTTCATTTTGTTATTTTATTTTATTGTTTTTAAAATTAATGGTTAGAAACCAGCTAGATTTCATCCGCATCATATGCAAATAGTCCTATTTTTCAAAGACACCCCCTTACATTATTTAAAATCTCACTTGCATCCCTGTCAAAATTTATCATGTGACAAAAGTAGTGTTTTTATTTTTGTATATAACATATCGTGTGTTACTATTTGTGTATATATATAAAGAGAAATAGACCATATTGTTGCCCCCGCCTCTATTGTAAATATTGTTACCCACGTTGTCTCCTGATCATATCAACTCATTGCTAATTACACCTATCATCAAACCTAAAAATCATTTTGAAACACTTCTTTTACCATTGTTGTCGCCGAAAGAGAGTTTCGTAGTAACACAAATGAGTAAAAACACAAAAGAAAAACGGCGGGAGACAAAAGATTCGAGAGCACTAATGCTCTATTTGATAAGAATGATACAATAAAGTCGAGTTGTATTGTGTCAGATTCGTATTGAGTCATTACGAGTTTGTATCGAATATTAGTCAAACCTAACTTAATTCATTTAATTAATTATGTCGTATCGAGTTACGAATTGACCTATTTATTTTTGTATCGAGTTCGAACCGTGTCATCGTGTTGAGTCGAAAATTTTCACCTTTAGTTAAGATGGATAAAATATTTTTTTTAACTTAAAATTTTTATTATTTATTATTTTTTTATTTTAAATTTTTATTTTTTAAAAAATTAATTTTTAAAATATATATAAATATTTTACCATTATATTTTTATATGAAATTAATGTATATATAAGATATGGACAAATAAGATACATATCAATAATAATTAACTTTTTTTCCACTTTTCATCCGATTTTGGAGGAATTAATTTTGGTGAGTTAGAAGGAAAATTAATCCATCCACTTTTACATCCTTCCTTCTTTTCTTTCTTACCAAACATGATATTTTATTTATCGCTCCAATTTTTTATTCTCCCACTTTTTCTATTGTACCAAACGGAGCATAAGGGTGGGTGGTGGGGAGATAGGGCAACGACATGGTCCTTGTCATTCAACTATATAATAAAAAAAATAAACTAGAGGGAGAAGGTCAGACATCTTTCCCTCTCATTTCTTAAATTTTTAGAGTTTTTTCCAATTATATTCTACCACTTGCCTTTTTAAATCAACTCTCAACTCTTCACTAACTATTTTTACCCTAAATATTTTTAATGGAACTCAAATATTTTTTGTTCACCCACTCAAATGACACCCTTATGAAAATTACTATGACTAATTCTAATCAGTAATGTTATATTCACACAATTTATGCACGAATTTTATGTACATGACGTGACTTATTTTGTTTAGAATTGTAAAATTTGGTGTCGAGCTTGTGTATTGTGTAGGAAAAAGGACTCTAAGCTATTCTCCTTTTACCTTAGTGGGGGTGATCGTAGAGAGATTAAGAAAGATTATTGACGAGAGTGAGAAGAAAGTATTTGATTTAGAAAAAGTTCAAGTTCAATAGCTAGTCGTAGATTAATTTCTTTTAATCGGGTTAACCCATTATCTTCTTTCTTCTGTCCGCTCTAAATTATATTACAATTTTATTTAATTTATTTATAGCTATGTATAATTAAATTTTTAAATGTAATCAGACGCCTTTAACAAGATTTGTATAATCTTCTTTTTACGGAGGTCCCTTGATCATCAAAATTTACTAAATTGCATTATATCCCTTTAATTTTATGTTGTTGCAGGGGTTACGTCCATACTTGCTGGCTCTGACTCTCAAATTCTTATTTTATATTATTTTCTTATTTTAAAATAAAAAATTTTAACATATCAAAATAAAAATTCACTAAAATCTAAGGGTATAAATTATAATTTATCCTAATATATTTTATGCAGAAGAGACGGTGAAATCAATGATCGAGGTTATTGGGTCTCAGTCTAAAACATGCAATACTCTCCGTAAAATACTCCATTTTCTGTCTCATTCCAAACCTTTATCTCCACCATTTCCATCTATAACTACCACACTCCACTACCCGCCACTCGAGCCACTGCAAGTAATATCTTTAAACCCATATTTACGTTCCATCGATGGCCCCTCCACGTTCTTTTTCCAAACTCAAGCTTTCACTTTTTCTAACCTATTCCAATAGCCAATTACAACCCATGTCAATACTTCACCTTTTACCACAAACTTTTTGGGGATGTATTCTCTGTTTTTTTGATTCTATAAATGCAGAGGGTGACTGTTGTTTCATCATTAGGGAGGTGAGTTTAGTTGCTTAATAATGGCGGAAGAGGGTTTCATTGTTCCGGTGGAGACTCAAGCGTCTCTCAAGAAGAAAACGGCCATTTATAGGAGTTGGGTTTTGATAGATAAATCTGGGCAGAGTGCAATTTTAGATTTGGATAAGTATGCTATCATGCGAAGAGTGCCAATACATGCGAGAGATCTTCGAATTCTTGATCCCCTTTTGTCTTATCCTTCTACGATTTTAGGCCGGGAAAGAGTGATTATTCTCAATTTGGAGGTGAATTTAGGCTTCGCGTTTCGTTCTCGAATTTGTTTTGAGAGTTGAAATTAATTCGCTTTGAGTTGTTGATTTCTTTTTTGCTTTGTTTATGTTTGAGTTTCAGCATATCAAAGCAATTATAACTGCGGAAGAGGTAATTCTTCTAAAGTATTTTTGAGCTAATATAAATGATTCAGAGTGATGTTAATTTCAGCTATATTGTACAAAATTTCTATTGCTGTAAATGTGCTTGATGTTTTGGGTTAGGTATTGCTTCGAGATCCACTGGATGATACTGTTGCTCCCATTGTGGAAGAACTTCAAAGAATATTGCCTCTGGTGAATGGCCAAGGAGAATCACAAAACAACGTTGAAGCCAATGAAGGAAATGGTCCACCACTGCACTTGGCACTCTTTTTAAGAATTTTAGATTTTTTCATGATTTTAAGGGTTATCAATAGAAAATTCCTTGGAAAGCAATGTCCTATTTACTTTCTTCCCTTCTCAAATCATCACGTTAGATTTTGGACCAACCAATTTGTTCATAATTTTGGCAAATTTTTATTTCCTGATTCATAGTTTCTCTGATGGAATATAGAATTCTCATTTGAATTTCGGGTTCTAGAAGTAGCACTGGAAGGCATATGCAGTTTTCTAGATGCACGTACAAGGGAATTGGAGCATGCTACTTACCCAGCTTTAGATGAGCTGACCTCCAAAGTAAGGGATTTCTTCTGCATATTGGTCTTGGTCAATTCTGTTTTTCATTTAGTTTGATAATAGGATTTCTTTTGACCCATTTCCATTCTTGCTTCAAGTAAAGCCAAGTTTCTGTTGTTCCTATTGCTGTGCAAATAAGATCTTAATTCAATTTGTTTGTTATTTATGTGTGTGAGACTTTTCACAGTTAAATTGGAATCTTCAACAATACATGTTAGAATTCATTCATAAAGAATGACTAGTATTTATAGATTTATCTTTGAAAAGAAATACTTACAACTGACTAGTGAATTATTTACAAGACAACTTCATTCTACATTTTCTACTGACAATACCATCAGCACTCTGCTTCCTCTAGCTCCTGTTATTCTCAGAACTGGACTTTTTGGTTTTCTAATTGTATTTACGTTGCATGTTTCATTGATACTAATTTGTGGAATTTTCCAAAAACTACATGCAGATTAGCAGCCGTAATTTGGATAGAGTGCGTAAATTGAAGAGCTCAATGACAAGATTGACCAGCCGGGTTCAGAAAGTATGTCTCTTTATTCTCCTCCCAAGTCCCACCCCCAATTCAAACAAGAGAAGTCACATAACCATGTGGTTATTCATTCACAATGCTGGTGGACACTCACGATGTTGAGGGCAGGAAGAAGAGAAATTAGTTATTCCTCTTCATGACTGATGTTACTTGATGAATGTGTGGTGGTTCAATTCTTTTGCATAATTTATATGTTCACCTAGTATTGCAGTTTTTTGAGCCCAGAATGAAGTTTTTTGTTAATGCACTTCCAATGTTTCATTGCTTAAAAATTTGAATTTAGTTGCAACGTAATAACAGTGTTCCTTTTTTCTGTTCAATGCATGGCATGTGGGATTGCATCACACTTTGTTGTACAGCTCTCAAAATATATCTCGTGGATGGATTCCAATCATAGTAGCAGTATGAACAAATTGATTGATGGGACATTTCCAAATACTCCAAAATGAAGACACGTGTCATCGGCATCAGTATATTCTTGTTACTGTGATCATGACACGTACTCGTCGGTTCACAAGTCCCTCTTCCTCTGAAGTACTGTTCATAGGGATCAATGACACTTAGTACGTTACGTACCGACACGTATCCCTCGATCGGATATGGGGTACATCGGTCCCTACATGTACCACTCCCTCGGTACCGAGATGTACCCGTCCAGCTTGGCTTTTTCTACTCCTGTAGAGGCTATTGATGTACAGGTCACTAGCCTAGGCTAGACTAGATTATCCATCATAACCTCGTCTTACACAATTAGTGTCAGAAGGCACGAGAAGGCAGAAGACACAACCAATGGAGAATGGGGGCGTGGCATATTGTGTCAGATCAGAGACAAAAAGATCGAGATGCCCTTGCTGACACACGACTTGGGAAAACAAGCATTTAGTGCACCATTCCCTTGATGAGACATTATTTAATGCAGGAAGGCTCGGAAGTGAAAGGTAATAAATGTACCTATGACTGGACATTTATTACATCCTTGCCGAGAGAAGCTCATTAAACATTTGGCAGGCCGATGACGAAGCATTGGTTGCTCGGAGTCCCGAGCAGTTAAGAGAGAAGACATTCCTCATAGGAATCAGTGCGCACGTTGCCCGTATCTAATGATCACCTACTGACCACACTGACAGTAATCATGAGTTTTTGAGGTATAAATACTCCTCATAATAAAGGCAATACGGTATGCAACAAAAAACCTTTTCTCAAAGAAATACACAGTGTTTTCTCCTTCCCCTCTCTCAAAGAACTGACTTGATCGTCGGAGGGGATACGCTGGAAAACACTCCGGCGCCCTCCTAACTCATTTTTCTTTGTTCCAGGAACCTCCCTCAGCCTTACTGGACCGCTCCGTTGATCCATGAAAGTCACCCATTATCGTTTCAGGCCACCACCGGACCTCACAGTTTGTTTCAAGCAGCAAGGTTGACCATTCGATTGAGTGACTCGAGTTCATTACAGGAGAGATCTGTTCTCGTGTTTATATTGTGCAAGATCCCGCACGCACAATCTGGCACCGTCTGTGGAAAACGACTAGTTTACTAGTTTCTTCTCTAAAAAGGACAGTGATCATGGTGAATACTCGACACAAGGGGAAAAGTCCCCAGCAAAGAAGTCTTGATTTGCAAGCTCCTCGTCATGATGGAGGGAAGGGTCACGTTGATGACAACAGAAATGTCTCTATTCAATCAAGGGGGCTTACCCCTCAAACCAGTATGGGCATCAGGTCAGGAGAATCTGCNCCTCGTCATGATGGAGGGAAGGGTCACGTTGATGACAACAGAAATGTCTCTATTCAGTCAAGGGGGCTTACCCCTCAAACCAGTATGGGCATCAGGTCAGGAGAATCCGCCTCTTGGCTCGTCAACTGGCGGAGGTGATCGAAGAAAAGTTTGGGGATCGATTACGACAGTTGAAAAAAAACAATGTGAACGTCCTAAGCAGGCTCAACGAATTTGCCGCCTCCAGCGAAAGGTCGAGGGACTTGTTCCCTTCTCGTGGATTCCCCGCCCGAGAAGCAGAAACTGAGGACCTGAGAAATCATTTAAATAATAAGGTTGAAGGCTCTAGGGCCCTGAAACGCCCAAGAGCCAACGAGCACCCCCTCGACGACTATTCTAGGATGGCAAAGCCTTTAGCCCTGGACGACCTCCGGCGAGGGCTGTCAAGGCGGAGGAAGGGAGACGAGTCCGAGGAGGATTCAACCCTTTCCACCCGATGCCCAAAAAAGGGGAACCCCATCAATGAACCCGGAGACCTCAGAGGTCGGTTGGAATCTAGGAGAAAGGGTAAGGATGTTCAGGATAATGTCGAAGACAAGGTCATACAATCACCCTTTACTAGGGATATCAGAGAGATGGAGGTTCCAAAAAAGTTCGTCGTGCCGAGGTTCAAAACTTACGATGGTCGGTCCGATCCCAAAACCCACCTCAGGCAATACAAGCTAATGATGTCCTTGTATCATTCAGATCAACGGTTCCTCTGCCGAGTGTTTTTCATGAGCTTGGGGGACTCCGCAATGAAGTGGTTTGAGGCTTTTTCCCCCAACAGCATTGGATCATAGAAAGAGTTGACGAGGCAGTTCCTAGCCCGATTCATTACGGGGAGTAAGTGGCCTAAAGACGTTGGATCATTACTAACGCTTAGACTAAGGGAATTCGAGACCCTTCGCCAGTACGCCATCCGGTACTGGAAAGAGGTTAACGAGGTAGAGGGCTGCTCGGAAGTCATGGCAGCGGCATCTTTCAGGCTCGGCTTGGCAAGGGACACGGACCTGTACCGATCTCTAACCAAAAAAATTCCCTCGGATATGGGCGAGCTGATGGCCCGGATAAACAAATACTCTATGATCAAGGACAAAATGGGAAACAGCAAAGGCAGAACCTTCCAACCTAAGAGAAAAGAGAGGGAGCGAGAGGATACTTCTCGAAAGGGGCTGCTGCCCCCTCCGGGGGGTCATTCAAAGGTGTTCAGACTATGTTTAAAGAACCCATCAACAAGTTGCTCCACAAGATCAAGTATGAGCCATTCTTCAAGTGGCCGCCCAGCATGTAGACCGATCCCTCCACCCGTGATCAAAAGGTTTGGTGTTCCTATCACCGGAATTTCGGCCATCGCACCGAAAGTTGCAGAGTATACAAGTCTTTCTTGGAAAGGTTGGTCCGGGACAGTTACTTAAAAGAATACATAGAACCTGAGTCGGAAGAGAGACACGCCCCCGCCCCCGCCCCGGCCGGGGAGCTAGACAATGTCATAGACGTGATCCATGTATGTCCATTGGATCGCCCAACGTCCAAGGAACTCGAGTCCGATCTCAAGAGAGTAACATTTACGAGAAAGATTGCCGAGAGTGATGGGGGGCCACCCAGCAAAAGAACCAGGATTGTCGAGCCGGGCATCACGTTTTCCGACGCGGACTTGGCGGGCGTGGTGACTCCCCATAACGACACCCTGATAATAACCCTGAAGATAGGCAAGTTCAACGTCAAGAAGGTGTTGGTGGACTCCGGGAGTTCCTCGGAAGTGATGTACTCAGATACTTTAAAGCAGATGGGTTTCGGCCTCAAGGACCTTACCAAGGTCAGGACGCCTCTCGTCGGATTTAACGGCTCATTCGCCTTACCCATAGGCAAAATCACATTGTCAGTTGTCATGNGATACTTTAAAGTGGATGGGTTTCGGCCTCAAGGACCTTACCAAGGTCAGGACGCCTCTCGTCGAATTTAACGGCTCATTCGTCTTGCCCATAGGCAAAATTACATTGCCAGTTGTCACGGGTCCCTTCACCATCAATACGGAGTTTGTGGTGATCGATACGGACTCTCCCTATAATGTGATCATGGGACGAGCATGGTTGTATGCCCTGGGAGCGATACACTCCACTTATCACCAAAAATTAAAATTTGCTACTCCAGAAGGGATCATGGAGATCCGAGGGGATCAAGCGTCCGCGAAGAACTATTTTTACTCGGCTGTAAGAGTGGGGTTTTCACCCAAGAAAAGGAGCGCCCTCCGGAAGAGATCCTGGAAAAATAGCAATCACAGTTCGGGCGTCCAGGAATGGATGACCCCCGGATTGACCCAACGAAACGGTCGGTGGAGGACCTCCGAAAGGTGCCCTTGGTGGAGGGAGAAGAGGAAAGGTACTTCTTGGTTGGAACCGCGATGCCCACAGCCGAACAGGAGGAGATGATTGACTTCTTGAGGGAAAATGCAGACGTGTTCGCTTGGAATGCAATAGAGATGAAGGGAGTGGATCTCGAAATTATCACCCACAAGCTACATGTTGACCCGGCGCACAAGCCAATAAAGCAGAAGCCACGACGCATGGCGCCGCACCATGCCCGAGCGGTCAACGAAGAGATCGATAAACTCCTAGAGGCCAATGCCATCTGGGAGGTACAGTTCCCGGAATGGCTGTCTAACACGGTCTGCGCGAAGAAAAAAGGGAGAAAATGGCGCGTCTGCGTAGACTTCACTGATCTAAACAAGGCATGTCCCAAGGATGACTACCCCCTGTCAAAGGTGGACCAGTTAGTAGATGCCACTGCCGGATATCAACGCATGGACTTCTTAGATGCCCGAGCAGGATATCACCAGATCCCTCTCCACCTCCCGGATCAAGAAAAGACGGCGTTTATCACTCCAAGGGGAGTTTACTGTTACAAAGTGTCGCCGATCTGTTTTTTGAACATCCGATTCATCAGTCTTTGGTATGTTGTCCCGGCGTTCTTCAGCCCAAACGACATCCCTTTGTAATAGTAAACTCCCCTTGGAGTGATAAACGCCGTCTTTTCTTGATCCAGGGGGTGGAAAGGGATCTGGTGATATCCTGCTTGGGCATCTAAGAAGTCCATGCGTTGATATCCGGCAGTGGCATCTACTAATTGGTCTACCTTTGGCAGGGGGTAGTCGTCCTTGGGACATGCCTTGTTTAGATCAATGAAGTCTACGCAGACGCGCCATTTTCCCCCTTTTTTCTTCGCGCAGACCGTGTTAGACAGCCATTCCGGGAACTGTACCTCCCAGATGGCATTGGCCTCTAGGAGTTTATCGATCTTTTCGTTGACCGCTCGGGCGTGGTGCGGCGCCATGCGTCGTCGTGGCTTTTGCTTTATTGGCTTGTGCGCCTGGTCAACATGTAGCTTGTG